AAAATTATATATTATTTTCTAATCTAAAGTCTAATCTATAGACATTTTATAATACTGTAATAAAAGGTCAGATTTTTTTTCCCTTCTCCACCCAACTACATTACATCTAGCTTTTATCTCCAGTATTAGTATCTGGTATTTTGTCATTACAAACTACTTTATCTGTTCATCGTACTAGTTTGTCACTAATTTACTTTATGAAATTACCTGAATATAAAACTTCTTTCAAGCATACACTTTCATTAGTTATTCCTTAGAGATCTAGTAAGTTGCACAATGTTTCAGTGAGATATGTCCTATATAATATTACAGATATTTTTCAGTGTGATGACATAATGTTTGGTGATGAAGCAATTAATAAAAGTTAACCTTCATTATAAGTTTGTCTGCTTCGCATTTTAAAAGCATTTCTCATTTTCAGAAAGCATAAACTTGACTCCATTAGATCTCACAAAAACTCTGTCAGGTAGTTACTAGTCTATTAATAAGAAAAATATGCCAACTGCTCTACAGAGAAAGTGAGTGACATTACCTACTTCTACAGAAATCAGCAGAACATTGGCTAATATGTAAATAATATTATGTGCTATACCTACTTTGCAAAAAGTATTTCCCAAAACGTAAAATCACATACTACAGAATTCATCCAGGGAAAAGCACAGGAAGGACAACCAGTAGTGACTGAATTGCTTATGTGAAAGAACAGAACAACTATGTAGGGATCAATGTGGAAAATATTGAAAGCCACATCACTGTTATCCTAAGATACCTCTTAGCAGTATTAGAAAATATTTTTTTTACAGTTCTGATTGCTTCTCATGCCTGAATTTTATTTCCTAGTTACATAGATATATTTATTATCAACTATTTTCTGTCTTTGTAACTATAGTCTGGTTTTCTCTGCATCATTTGTATTTAGGGTGACTATAGCAAGAAGTAATTGTTTGCTTGTTCTGAGTATAACTAAACTAAGAGGGCCATTTTTTTCTTGTCTACTGATCATCTGATTCTGGTGTATCAGGGCACATAGTAAAAACGTTACAGAGTCTGCTGTAAACAGCAGCAAAGCAGCTGTTTAGAAGTAATATCATTACCTATAGAGTAGACCTCATTGCTTACAAATCTGAAATTCAAGACAAAGATTGTTACTGGTTTTGGTAACAACTTAATTTTTTTTGCACTAGGTTGTAATTGTGCCAAAGTCATTACCCTACTTGTCATTAAATGTGTATGTTTGGTCTCAGTCACATTTTGTATAGATATATTAGTATGCATTTTGATATATATATATATGCAACAGTGAGTACTGTTGTTTACTTAACAAGTGCAACTTCAATCAAAGACTATAATAAAATTCCTGCTTTCTGTTCTACAAGACCTTAGAAGTCTCATTACAGCAATATATTACAAAGCAGAGATTATAAATTAAATTTAAAATTTAAAATTCCCTGTGGACTTTTGTAACAAAACTCCCTAGTATCTAGCAAATTTAACCAGTGATAATTGCATACTGCCTACAAACTACTGTTTCCAAACTGTATGTATGTGTCTCATCTAAGAGAGAAGTAAGCTGCTTTATTGTGCAAAATGATTCCTATAGAGTTTATGAGTCCTTTGGGGGGTTTATTGGCTGAAAAGCAAAATGAAATGTGAGATCAAACTTGCTGGTGCTGCTTGTTTCTCTTATTTAGAAAGTGGAGTTTGTAGAAATAATTTTTATGCATACATTCTAGCTGCTTCGATAGTTATAATTCTATAGCAAGGCTCTCCTTAGTATGAGAGAGATGTAGTGCAATCCTCAAAACACACATAATCATATGTTAATTTTAACTTCTCAACTAAATGTTTAATAATCATATAGAAGCATGTTATTTCACAGACATAGTTCATGAGACAACATGTATAAACATATATACAAATGCTCAAAGCAGATTCCATGTATTTATCTATTTTGGAGAAAGTTAAAAAGTATGAACGTTTGCTATTTTAAGAGCTGAAACTACATCTTTCAACAAAATTTAGCTGCTTTCATTTTGTACATGCATTTAATTTTATCTAGAAACTTTCTGACATTAGGAATAGAACAACTGTAGTTTCTCATTATGTTTGCTGCCAGAATTTATGCTTGGTTGCTCAACTAAAGACCTTATATTGCTAATTACTACCACATGCCCATATCCCAAGCAAAGGAAAACTTATTGGTTCTGACAATCCATTCTTTCAACACTGAATTCCAAATGAAAACTTAAATTTTGGCCAAACATAACATTTCATCAATCTTGTTCTACTGACTGCAAAAGCAACATCAAACAACGGGTGCTAATGGCTTTTTACTGTGCAGTGCCCAAGCTTAGATTCTCTGATGAAAGACCCACATGAGCAAAGGACATCTTTAAACTACTTAGTAATTAATAATTGAACCAGAAAACAATGCATAAAGTAAATTGAACATGTTGTATGCTGATGACAGAGCTGAGTTTCAAAAGACAAGCTATATGCGCAGTAGAGATCAGCAGAGAAAGCACTGACAACAGAGTGAGCTAAAAACAAACAGATAGTGCCCATAAATAAAGACAAAAAGAAAAGGTGAAAAATAAAATTAAGCACGCCCCAAAGCTAGCAGAAGCCTGTAATCTGGCGTTCAGCTTTTCAGGATGTGGGGTTCTGACTTAAGATCAGATCCAAGTTTAGAGACATCTGAGTAATGCTGGGTACTAGTGACAACGTAGAAGGGGAGAGACTAAAACTCTGTATGTAAAATAGTTTTTAATCATATTTCCCCTCTGCTATAACTCCTTTGGAGCCTCAAAAACAGAGGTATAAATTCTGTGTTTGAAAAACTTCTCTTTGAGAAACCAAGTATGAATACAAATATGAAACTGAGTAGGCCTCTGTCACAAATAAACATTTTGGGAAATTAATGACACTCTCTCAAAAATAAATTATGGAATTTTGTTAATCTGGATAAGTGAATTATGATGCAAGTTTCCAACGTAAATGTTTACAGTAAAAAAAAAAACTTTATACATTTGAGGGTATCTCAAAAAATGAAAGTATTGAAGTTCTCAATTGTGTCATCTAATTGCTTGAGCATTACTGAACGTACAATAGTATAAGCTATAACTAAAGAAAGAACTTTGATTTATCTACCCAGTGATGTAAAACAATACTCTAGAATTAGCTCTGTAGGACATTTACAGTCTTTCTGCTCCACAGAGAGGAGAAACAACTTGATAAAACCATAATCCACATTCATAACATGATGCATGGGTGATGATTTGAAAGGAATAAAGTAAAAGACATATCTTCTTAAAGTAAGGAGAGGGAGAATTAATGAGATACACTGCTTGCAGTACCTTCTTTATGTTATATGGAAAGGATTCTATATGACTCGTCTTTTAGGGCAAATATATCTCTACCAGTGAATATCACAATGATATCTAATGAAACAGAAGATGGCAACACTAAAGGCGATATAGAGGAGAAACTACTGTATCGCCAAGTACACAGAATCATAGAATCGTTTAGGCTGGATCTAGTTCATTAAAGGCTATATCCCAGCAGGTCTAGATGCTGGGAATGCCAGAAAGAGCTGGTTTTAACTTCATCAAGAAAACAAGCAGGCTTTCAGTAGAAATGTAATGAGACAATGTGATCCAATAAAATTTAACTTCTGCTACCAGGTAAAAATAGGATTTTTTACGGGTTTGGGTTTTTTCCATACTATATTGATACTAAGGCTACTGCTCGCTCTTCTTAGGATAGGTTTTACATGGTGTGTTGAAGAGAATCACTTTAAAATCCCTGCTCATAGAACCTAAAATCACAAGCATTTGCAATATTCATACAAAGTCAATGGGAGCTGCATGAGATCTGAATTTGCTGTTTGAACAATGAGAAACAGCACTAAGACTTCTGACATAGTCAGTCTAATGGAATAACCCGATCAACACAAATCTCTTATTTTGCACTCCAGTAAACCCAAGTTTTCTAAAGAACTGAGTTGTTTGAAAATCATGTGAATTATCATTGTCACTTAGTTAAGAGATGACCACGTGATAATCTGATGCCCAAAACTGTGAAGTGACAAGTCAACCTTGTTCCAGAAACTAACTGCAAGTGCAACAGCAGCATTTTTTACAAGATATGTCAGTGTAGTCTTAGTGGTATCCAGGTTCTCTTGAAGCAGGGACAAAATGTTGTGACTTGTACCATAGCATAGCCCAGGTCTCTAATTATAGTGTGACAACTCTCCAGTGGTAACATCTGATGTCAAGGAATACAGCCTTATAAGCTGTGAGTCAGCTATTACCACCTTCAGGGACTCTTTAAAGTCACACAACCACACCTGGTCTTTTTTGACTTACTTTCTGCCTCGGGTTGAGTTAAAAGTCCCGCCGTATTTCTTCCGATTAAGGATGAGAGCAGCAATTTCTGGCACGTAGCGAGCAAACATTGCCTACATGCATGAAACAAAAACACAAAAAAAAAAAAAGAAAATGGCATGCAGAGAGTGTTCTACTGCAGCAGAGGCAGCAGAGCCTCTTGGGATACTTACTTTCTTCCACTAACCGCACTATAGGAACCACCATATTTCTTGCGGTTTCCTATTAACTCTATGATTTCAGGGACGTAGCTGGCAAACATGGCCTAAGAAGAAGATAGGAGACAGAAGAAAAGACTAAAAAGAGAGGCCAAAGAAAGGGGGATGATGAATATTTTCAGAAGATATATATCTTTAAGATCTGAAAATGCAAAAGAATTAGATCTATGAAATTGTTTAAAAAGAAAATTTTAAAAAGAAAATTTTAAAAATGTAGAAGTTCTTATCACACAAAACAAGAAGGCTCAATGTAAAAGTTGGTCTTGGAGAAGGTGCATACCTTATAAATTAAGAAAATGGTCAAAAGAAGAAAAATAGGCACACAAAACAAAACAAGAACAAAATTAATTCAAACTGGCATCTAATAAAATACAGTTATGTCTAATTCTTCCTGAAGAGGGGAGGGGAAAAAAACCTATCCAAGCTCCACTGCAAAAACCAAAACCAAGTATCATTACTGTTACATTCCTATTTTAAAAGACAGACTTTTTTTCCCCCATGATTAGGATTCAAAAGAAGACAAAACCAAGATGTTATCAGGGGTTATTCCCCCTGTCAAGAAACAAAAAGGTCACACCCCCCGCTCCCAAAAAAAACTTTTCAAAAAGTTTATGTTTTTAAAAGGGTTGGAATAACACGTGATAGAAAAAAGGTTTCGAGGAGAAAATAAAAATTATTCTGCCATGTTTTGTCCAACAAACATCATCTTTGTGGCTGGATACTTCGAAGAGCTACTGCCAGTTGACATGGTGTTTGTCTTCGTATGTCAATAAACATAGATGGGAATGCATATGTTTATGCTCATATATATACTCATATCTATATATATGTATCTGTATGTGTCTCATATATGGCATTCATAACATTAGTTATATACATATCATCTCTGTAAGATGTATGTATATGTGAAATCTATATATGAAAGTAAAGTAACAATATACATATGTATGTATGTCCACAATATATATTGTGAGTCATCCATAAAGCACTTACCTCACACAGTGTAAATATTAAAAAAAACCCTTGCTGTTTTAGAGAATAACATTGAAACAGGTCCTGTAATATCACTAACACTGATAATAGAAAAGTTGACATAAGAGAATTAGTAACTTTGGTGTTATGTACATACAGGACAAAGAACATGAGAATTTGCTGATATAAAAGGATACTGGTTATGGCCATATGATAAATTGTGAGTTAAAATTGTGCTACATGACATGAAAGGATGTTTGAAATTAAAGAGAATGTGGTTTGCCATCATCTGGATCAGGCAAGCTGCTCTTTAAGGCAGTCCAAAGCCACAGTGTTTGTTGGAATTCTGGGAAGGAACACAGAAGGGTGGGTAGGACTTCTGAAACCGCAAAGTGCCTTTAAGTATCAATAGCAGCCTCAAAAAAATGCACTACAGTCAGTCACTAAAAAGTAAAGGACGGTAAATAACATAGTAACTTGAAATATTAAGGCACTTCATGTACTCACATGCATTACTCATTTAAATGTGTTACAAAAATTCTGACTACTAAACTGGACTAATTTGACAAGCTCTGCCAAAATATCTATCTGTAGGAAAAAAAATTAGGTGTATTAAACATATTTAAAACTTTTATAATTAATTTTAATTCACTAAACCAGATATTACTATTTCTTTAATTACAGCATTGAGATATACAGGATCAAGTATTAAGGTAGCTGGAATAATAATAATGATAATAAAGAGTTTTTACCAATCCCCCAAGGATGAAGAAGACCATGAAAAGGCGACCAAGGGTTGTTTTTGCATAAACATCTCCATAGCCAACAGTGGACATTGTAACCATCAGTAAATAAACACATTCCCAATATGTTAGCGGTTGATTATTTTGGAAATTTTCCCATGGATCCCCTGAGTTCTCCACCTAAAATGTACAAGAAAACACATAATGAATTAATAGAGTTGTACCACAAATTAACTCTACTCATATATGTGTGTGCACGCATGTGTGTGTATATATATAATTTGGCTTATAATATAAACTCTGGATGCTTTCCTGTGATTTATTTTGAAGAAATACAGAACCTAACCCTGTCCCAATTATAGCATTGCAGTTCTTTTGCTACTATGCATAGCCTTGCCACTCATACTATTTATGGAAAGTATCTTTTCCATTCACCACTAAATGATATAACTTATGAATGCAGCTAGGTAAGTTTATTTTACAGCAATTTGTTCAGAACTTTTTCAGAGTGAATCTCACTTGTAATGCAATTATACTTCCTAATGTTTTTGTTTTAAAGCATTATGTTGCTATTAAAGGCATTAGTGACATGTTAAGTTTAGTGATACACTATTACTTTTCCAAGAAGTCAGCTACTGTGTGTGGCAAAGTTACAAATTTATCAGTGGGAAAGGAGCATGCCCTCTAAAATTTGTTCCACAGTAAAAAGATTGAAGTTTGGGGATTCCTACAAGTAGAATAGAGAAACTTATGCTGAAAAGCAAAAAGAAAAACAAACAAACAAAAAAAACCCAAACCAACCCAAACCCAAGCCCTAGAAAGCAGCATTCTCTCTCTCCTGATGTAATTTTAAAAAGCTTTTTTTTTTTTTTTGGTTCAAAAATAGAAAAAGCTAATGTTTCTATGATAAAAACACTAGATTTGCCCAGAGGAGTGTAAAAATGTGGTTATCTGTGAATGAGAAGTATATCATAAATGAAACATCCAAAATTTCAGTGCGTCTTTGTAAGAGTGAAAATTAAATGCCAGTCTGGTATAACAAGATGATAAACATTCTGAATTTAATCTTATAGAGCTGGATGCAGCTCACACTAATTCAAGTGAAGTGAATTAAATTGCTCTGGACTAACATCAATATCATTAAATTATAATAGTCCAAAACTATTCCTGAATAACTTATTACTACTAGTACCTTGAAATTTTCCTGATTCTAAGTTGATCATAAAATGTACTTAAAGGACAAACACTTAGCCTTATATAATTATATTTGCCAAGCAAACCAGTAAGAGCTATTAGTTTAAAATGTTTAAAATACACAATTGACATATACCTATCATATATATGCATATTCATATTTAGGAACTCATATACTATCTTACATTTTTCAGGTATCGTTAAGTGCGGAATAAAAAATCTATTACAAAAATCTATGTTATCGGTGACTGAAAGCTACACCAAAAAAATTTGAAATTTAAAAACAAAAGAGAAGGAAAAAATCTGTAAAAAACTGCTACCCGGAATGTTAGCAATCCCATTATTTCTCGTGGAAACAGAGAACTGCTTTCTTCTGGCACAACCATTGATTTCCCAGGACCTCAGTATCATTTCAGCTCTGCCAACCCCTTCCAGGAAGCACTCGGGCAGTTATTTAGGAAACGTTGCCACCTACTGGTAAATCGTAAGCATTCAAGAAGTTGCATCAGTTCGAGTGTCATATTTTATTGCTGAGGTTAATGGTGTATTACTTACTATTCAGAATTAGTTTTTAGTAGAAGCCTAAAATTCGGGAAGCTGTGATGTCCTTTTTTATTGTACTCTATAGATGCGTTAAGGGATTATCCAGAGCAAGGCAATTTCAGGTAATAAAGTAGCTCAGAGAGCCGATGATCCATGAGAAAAAGTATTTTCAAATATACTTACCAAATGTATGAACCCAGCTGCTGTCAGCCACGTGCTGATAAATATAGAGCACAGATTCACTAGCTTGATGGAATTACTGAAAATAAACAAAACCCAACAACAAATAGGAACTTAGACTGGAATTTATCACACATTTTTAATTATGTACCTGTATACAACTGCATACTTCAGACTGAAAGGGTCTGATGATGATTTCTGAAGAGATGCAGGCTCCCTAAAAAACTTAATCAAAAGCTTATGCAAAAGATGTATTATTTTGTCTTTGCAGAGTTCATATTTGCATAATTTACATAGCTTGAAAGAAAAATTCCAATGCATTTGAGAGCAGAAAGACAAATGGAAACCTTAGCCACATCTGTACTCATAATCAAACAAATAGAAATAAATGATGTGTTTTCACAAATAACTTGGTTGCCTCTCAGTACATTCACTGTCTTGTTTTTCATTGCTATACACCTCAGTAATTATTTACATGTAAATATTCTGCTACCCTGGGATACATCCATGAAGGTCCAATGAAGTAAACTGAGCAATGCCAGTTAATGTTAACTGTTGCACACTGCATTTATACATACAATTGACTGATTTTTTGGAATTATTTCATTTTTCATTAGCTTGTATGCTTCTTCTATATTCATTGTGCTTTTGACCCTAGACCTGTGGCTTTAAAAATTGACAGCAAGAGGATGTTTTTGTTGCATACCCACCATATGTTAACACTTGCATACATGACCACAGGGCACAACTATTTCTCTACAGTTATAGCAAACAATTAATGAACTATTGTAGCAAATCTGTAAATGTCATCCTGCTTTTATGAATAAATTATTAATCCCAAATTAAATAACTTAGGTATTTCACACTTCCTGTGTAAAGTCCTAGGTAATTTTCATATTATTCTGCTTGCATGAACTCCTATGGACTTCTTTGTGGAAAATCATACAGAGCTAGAGTAATAATAATAATTCATAAATCACATTCTCATTTTTCTAAAAAAAAAAAAAAATATTGAAAATCTGCAAACTCTTTTTAGTGCCACTGAGCAGTATGTTCCCTATTGTAGCCAGAAGTTATTTTGAAGCAAGGACTTCACTCAGTTACGCAGGTAAATCCCGTACTTAAAAGTTTGTGGAAGAAATACAAGTAAAGCTTGCTCCCCCTCTTACAAAAATCACTATGATTTCAAAAACTAAGAAGGATATTCAACAAATACACAAGGAAGTTAAGTCCATGTATTTCTACATCTAAATAATCTTACCCATTCATGGGACTGTATTGGAAATAGCTCTCCTTTATTTTTTAAAACATTTCTAAGAAAGAATAATGCCTCAGCAAAATCACTATTATCCCTAAAGCAATACATTCCAAAAGAACAAAAATTGGGAAAAAGTCACTATCAGTGTTAGTAGTAGCAGTTTTGCAGTAGAATTAATTAATATTTCTGTTTATAACTACTTTAAGGACAATAAAAATGCATTATTTTCTAAACAAAGTTGAGAAATGAACCTGGAAAATTAATCAGACCAGCTCCATTAAAAATATTTTTAAGAGTTACAGTTAGTGAAGCGGGCAACTGTGGGTACTAGGAAAGAAATACAAAAATACTCAAAAATAAGATAATATACCAGCAGTTCTGCAATTAATTAGCATTCACATACATCAACACATATTCACTATTTCTCTCTTTCTTAAGGTATGGTTGATCAAGGTTCGTATTTTCAGTCATAGCACAGGACCCTAAACAACAGGTTCCTAGATTAAACAAAATGATAGAAATCATGCTGATGCAAAGTTCCATTATGAAAGGCTAAATATCATCCTTCACTTAAACTTAGGAGTGGCTCCTGATACAATTGCTTGGTCTTCACATATTACTGTAATACAAGTAAATGACAGCAGTCATTAAAAATAACTATTTGCATGACTTGTTTGGTACATTTTATTTTTGCAGGTTTATTAAACTTTGCACCTTATCTCTCCTCTATGAAATAGTCCTGTGTTTCTGCCAGAGTCTAAATATAGATGAAGGATCAGTCACAAACATTTTCCTGCTCTTTAAGCTCTTTCCAACATCTGTGCAAAATCCCTTACTGTGACCCCTGTCTAAGCCTCTGTATTTTTGTTGAAAAATATTAGAAAACAGTGAAGTGGAGAAATTTTCAACTGAACACCACACAATTCATTCTATTTCATAAAACACAGGAATAAAAAAGATTGAGTAAAAGACATTTCATTTCAAATTAGGGAAACAAATAAATCCGTGGCAGAGTACAGTCTTTTAACATGCCACAGTAAAATTTTGCTTTGTCTTACTGGTTCTTTTCAAATATATTTAATAATTTTTCAGATATTCTAACAATTATCTAACACTCCCACACTATTTTGCTAGTCTTCTCACTTCCTTTATTTTTGCATTGTTTAGCTTCTTCCTTTAGATTCCAGCATTTGGAATGGCCCTTCTGCCCATTGTGTAAATAATATATGCTCCTTTAATCCTCATATCTCAGTCACTAATTCCAGGAGTAATTTTAATTTATAGGTTAGAGTAAACCTTTTTCTTTACTGGGAGGAAAGAAGAAAGGAAGGACAGAACTTCTCCTCTAATTGCATCAAATATTAAAAACACAGCAGTGCTCTTTATACCCTATCAGTTTCTCATCTTGTCCGTAGTTACTTGTTATTAATGCCAAGCACACTGAAATGCCTCTAGTTGAAAACAGTCATGCAAGGAAGCTCTGCTTTACAAGCTTTCTAACAATCAACACTTGGCTTTTACAGATATTTGATCATTCACACAAATAATCACAGAGATGATGATATCTAATCTAAGAGTAAATTTTGCACCAGAGAAATGCTATTTAAATGAACAGGTCAATCTTGAATAAGCCAGCTCTAAATACACTGAATGTGATTAATGCAGTATCCCTTCATTTACTGATCTGGAAGTTTACAAATCCACCACTCCTGAAGGGGCTTTTAGCCTTTATCCAAAATCCTTCAAGTTTATGGGACTTTTTCCATTGACTGCCATTTCTTTTGGTGAGGTTGTTCTTTGTGTTAAATGCAAACTCACTGGATATTCTGAGCTCCTGCACAAATTACTCTCCTTTTCCATACTGATAGCATTCTAAGCTACTGGACTACATCTTCACTGTACATTCTTTGATATCTTTATTTGACAAGAACTGGATTACTTACAGTCACACAGCTAAAGACAGATAGTGTGAGAGTTTTACAGCAAAGAGAAAAGTTTCAAGGCTAAGGGTTGAAGAAAGAGCCATTTACCATGAGTGTGGACAAACCTCAAGGATCTATTTCCCCTTCACTACTAACACAGCAAGTAAATGGAGTTACTTGCATATAAAGCCTTCACACATGCATCATCAACTGGTGGAGAGAGCACAGGACTTCAGAATGGAACTGAGTTTACAGTAATTATTGGAAGCTGGATTCAATACTTCAGCTGGGGCATTTTAGGGAATGATGAAAGGCAATGTGACTTCAACTACGAGGCATGGGAAGGTTCCTTTCTTTTTTTTCTTCAAAGTGATCTTTTGTTCAAAGTTGTGCTGCTTCTGCACAACTTTCACGTATTAATAGCCTGAAGAATCAGTGAAAGCTAGAAGGTTACTTGGAATATTTTAAATATTCTTTGAAAGAAATGCTAATGACAATGAACACAATATAAAGATAGCTGAGTGTAAAATTAATTTTCAATATGTTTTTGATGTGAATAAGGATGCTCAGTTCAAAAAAACTGAAATAGAACCTCAATGATTATTTCTCAAAATACTTTTTAGCTGTATTCTGTTGAATGAATTATGATTTCTGTTTTTCCAAGGCAGTGGAATATGGACTGATTATGTGGAAAGAAGCAATATTTAATCAGTGCAGAGCTCTGTAATTCATTCTGCTTTTAATTTATCAGCACTCAGTCTTGCTCAGATATTTCAAATGTAACAACACATCAAGTAAAATCTTCTACTGATTGCGTGGCAAAAGATGCTGACACTGATCAATCATTCATCAGCAGAAAAAGATTTAAAGAACAGATAACAAGTGTTTTTTTCCAGAAAAGAATATCATATATTATTAGGACCACAAACGTATGCCAATTATTGTCCGTCACCAGTGCAACTAACTCAGTATGTAAGAAAAGGTCTTACCTTGTTTTAAGGATATTCAGAAACTGCAAAATTTCTGAAAACTGTATCAGTCTAAGGGCTCTTAAAAATCTTAAACCTGCAGTGGAGAAAAAAAAAAAACACCTCTAGTAAAGAATAATTCAAACTATAACAACATTTCACTTACAATGACAGCAATCAATGAAATCAACATAGGTAGCATACAAAATGTCAAATACCTTTGAAATGTTCTTCCATATTTAATGGTTCCAAGATTCTTACCAGGCCTTTTTCAAATTGTTTTAAACTTATTTCCTTAATAGCTGAAATATCCTACCAGAAAGCCTTAGTTTACGTAGGAAGCCATGGGAGGAGACATACAGGCTGAAGGCTAAGGGGAAAAAAAAACCTCACTGAGGTTCTGTTGGTAGTTCTAGTGCACATGCCCTTCTCTTCCAGGCTGTCAAAGACACATACAGATCTGAAACTCCTCAGTCTTCCAAGCTCACATGTTGCTTAGTGGAAAACAAGAGATTATGGGCAAGAGATCTGATAACCTGGATAAAGTAGACTGTTTATATGCCTGATTAAATTGGTACATCTTAATGACGTAAAATCTTTTATTGTAATAATGCTCCCTATCTCCACCCTAATTTCCAAAAACTCAAGCAGGAGAACAGAGGAACAACACATTCTCTCTAAAAAATGACAAATCTACTATAATTCTTTCCATCAGACTATAACTATAGGAATAGATTACACTTCGAGTATTAAAGAAGTAACTATTATTCAAAAGAAATAGCATTTTTGTGTTGAAATCAGGTTGCATGAATAGCAATTCCCGGACAACTGCAAAGCCAGTGAGACACACAGAGAGAGTGTGTGCCAAAAAAAATACTGTAGAAGCATAACGGCTTAAATTATAAAAGAGACTTATGCTGATAGTAAATAATTTGGCTGTACATCTTTGGCATATGAATAAAGGTTCATTGTGTATTATACACTTGCACAGCTTATAAAATTAAAGTAAGGCTTTGAGGATAATTTTTAATAGACAGTACAGCCAAGAGTTATATAAAAGTTGTGTAACACGGTATTGTGACTATTACAGTTAGGTCCAGGGCAGCTTCTTCTCATACTTCCTCTTTATTGACATTTATTTTACCCACTTCCATTGCTATAAACCACTTCTTATTTCTAGAAATTTAAGGAAAGAATGGTCCTGGCAAACATATAAACCTGGTCACAACCTTCATCATCTCAGTGGAGTCAAGAGTTCCCCTCAAGAGCAAAGATGCATGTGGTGAGATGTGTTTAAATCAACGCTTTATTTCTGCAGTATTCTTGGAAAGTTGTTAAATAAAATTTTTACTCATGTTAAAGCTCATAAGTAGCCTTATTAAGTAGCCTTGTTAAGGCTCATAAGTAGCCTTAACAAAGTAGAGAATCAATCCTGTCTGTGTATTACATGGATATAAAGTTTCTTTTTAATTACTGATTGTGGGGAACTCTGCAGATTACTTACAACTTGAAAACTGGATTTGGGGATCTAGACAAAAGGCAATAAAATGATGCTTAATTATAAACTTCAGATCCATTTGCAATTAGAGGATGACCATTTTGGATCATAGTGCTGAAATGATGTGAGACACATGTCCCTCTGCTCCATTTGCAGTACTTCCCACAGTTGCTACTTATATCCAAAGAGATGTGGCTGGACAGGGATGGCAGAGCACCTTTACTAGCAACCCTACAGTTCCTCAGTTCTGTTCCATCCAGCTATCTCCCTCACTCCACTCCCTAGGAACTTTTTGAAAAATGGCTGGTGGGAGAAAAATCCTTCCTTTCAAATGCTTTGCATTGCATCTGCAGTTAATAAGATAACCAAGTTACCCATTGCAATGTTTCAAAAAGAAGCCTGAGAAACATTAAAGCTAGCAATAAAACCTCTATCTCCAAACTCTTACAATGCTTAAGATATATTTTAGTTGCCAAGAATCAGATGATAGAACAAATAGACTATGGCTTCAATGTATTTTTTGTGGAAGAAGAAAAATCATTATGGATTAGGTTCTGCATTTGCTACAGCCTAAACTATTTTATAAAGAATTCATTTCAGAGAATGGAATTTAAAAAAAAAAAAAAGGTGGAGAGTTTGCTTGAACAGTTTACTTGAACTACAAATGGAACTGGCTTGTAATTGTAAAAGGTTACAATCACCTTGTAACCTCTGTATCTTGTCTAGGACATTATTTATGGGGCTGCGTTTTATAGCTAAAGGAATTACCACACAGAAAGGATCAAATTTTGATATTCAGAAACCTCAGTATATTACCTGCTTTTTTGTGGTTCAAATATGAAGAAAAAAAATTAAATTAAAATAACAGTTTTCCTTATTGTGATGGCAAATTAATTTTTTCCAGTATTCTATCCTTTTCAAGACCCAAACAGTTCTGTTATTAGGTTCCTATATGCATTTCATTTTATATGATGTTCTGTACTTCCTGTCTTGCAACTAATCTGTGAGTGCCATCATCCCAGCAAGATTTAATAAGAATCTCTTCCTACATTCATAGTATCAGGACATAACAAGGCATAAGCCCTATTAAAAGGCACTAAGAAAAGGCAGATTCTCTAGATGAGATATTGAAAACTTCATAGGCAAACTACCGTGATCCTGTATGATGCTACCTCTTCGTATTTTATAGACATGTTTATATTTAATTAGCTTTTGTAGAAACATCAGTCATGTTAGAAATATTGAATTTTTGTATTCATTATAAAATATATTCTATATTAGTCAAAAAGGTCCTCTGGTAAACCAATATTTATAGGAAATAGAGATTAGGAAAACCCTTCATGACAATACACCTTTGAAGCCTACAAAAATTATGTATTTCAAGTCTTTTCAATGCCCATTAAAATGATATTCTCAGTTTTGCTTCAAAGGACCTCTAAAGGTCTTTTTTATGAAAACCTAATTGGAATATAATATTCTTTCCAGCTATGTAGAGACATCACCTCATACAAATTTCATCAGCAGAATGAATATTGCAGGAAAACATTTTGTTTGCCCTGACAGCCACTGTTTCTGACCAGGTGCTGAACAAGGAGTACAATCTGCCTCAGTGGGATAGAGTGTTAGGGTACTGGATTTAGTAATGAATCTACTAGTTCACTTCTGAGTTTCATAATCCCCTGCAGTAGAAAATCTAGCCAACTGAGGGCTTTAAAATCCATTTGACATTGACTGATGTCAGAGTCAAGGAGAACCTGGCTCAGAAGGAAACAAGCAGAGACTGGGAGTAGCATTCTTAGTATAAACCATGGTGGAAAAGGCAGACAGTTTGCAAATAGGGCTGAAAGGCTTATAGTTGAGCAGGGAAGAAGCCTGTTTTAAGTAGGAAAATCAGAAATATTCACAAGAGATGAGTATTCCAGAACAGTGTAAAAAAAGAACTCTAAAAAGTGATCTGAACAAAACACATAAAAGGACCGGACAATGGTAGGGCTGCAGCTGGTAGGTTTAAGTAATCCTTGTTTCCAGGTACTCACAGTATCTTGCTCTCAGGGACTGAGCGTACAAACATCAGTTAGTGCAGTGTTTGCAGGTGAAACCCATTATGCCTGCAGTGTTTAATCCCCATAACACTATTAACACAAAGAGTCAGTCAGCCAAAACAATTCTACATAGTAGGGACAAATTACACTGTACAATGCACCAGTGTGCATGCCTCCCCAGTAGGTTGTACCATGTGAAGACTTTGTGCAGTCTATTGGCAACATGCACTAATACTAGCAGAACTGAAACAAGGGAGAAAGGGGAATTCCCATTCTTGAATAGTTATTTCTAAAGCTTGAATGTGAAAGAGATAAGAGATGCAGTTTTTGAATGAATCTGTTTGGCATTCTAAAACATTTAATAGCATTGACTGCTTGACCTTCTAGTAAATTATGTTCATTTTGAAAGACTGCAGCTAATTCAGAGGATTCAGCCTTATTCTCCAAATAGACTACAAAAAGCTGCTGCTGAGAATAAACTGTAAGTATAAAACTCAGATGAAATGAGTTTGCCCCTAAATGTATGATTATTTATATCACCTTGAACTCAGCAAGGGGATGATGAATCAACTGAATAATTCCCAGAGGAAAAGTCCACACAGCACTTCATTCTGGTGCTGGTATTAATGACATACGAAAGTGTGCTTGCAATCATACATGCATCTGTAAACTGATGACACAGTAATCCTCACAGCAACAACCTTGTTGCAATGAGACTGTTGTCAAACTAAAAATGGCCTAAATTATTCAGTAGGTATCTTACTATGAATCCACACAATATCAATATTAAAACAAGTTAAATAGAAAAGATTTTGATGGGTCTAACTCAAGAGTGCTATCGATGGCTACAGGCTGTTCAGAAGGGACAGGCGAGGAAGGAGGGGCGGAGGCGTTGCCCTCTACATAAAGAAATCGATACAGTGTGAAGAGCTGTCCCTGAAGAATAGCCACGAGCAGGTCGAAAGCTTATAGGTAAGAATCAGAGACAGATGCAACAAAGGGAACCTTGTGGTTGGTGTCTACTACAGGCCGCGTGATCAAGGGAAGCCTACTGACAAAACCTTCTTCCTCCAGCTCCAGGAGGCT